GAAGCACAGATGTGAGAATCAGCCCTGACCCAGGACTGCTGGGCCTGTGTATCAACTAAAAGAACCTAGCACTAAAAAGATTGGTCCTTAGAAACCACGTACAGCACTCAGGGAGGGTGGTCTGAATTAGGGCAGCTAGCAGGGGAGCATGTTTTTTTAGGACTGGTATATTAATAGATAATCTTCATCAGTGACATCATGAGGCAGCGAGAAGTAATTGCAGCATGGTTGTCTTACACTTGAATATGCCCTTGCTGCATCTGGAAATCTACTGCTGATTCTGTCCATGCCTTTTGAAGGGACATAGGTTTTGTTTTTGTTTTCTTGGTTTTGTTGTTGTTGTTGTTGCTTGACAATTGCAGAGGAGGGAAGGAGGGGGAGCCAACCAATGAAAGGTGATAATTGACTTTTTGCCAATAAGAGAGGTAAGGACTTGAGTAATTAAGTAGGAAAACAAGATATTTGACCATATTTATATCATGAATTTTGGGTGCATATCATATTGCTTACAAATAAAATGAGGAAATTATTTTATGCACCTGAATGAATGCTGCCAAATTTTCTTAGGGTAGGAGAGTAAGAGTCTCAGTCATTTACAGAAGAATGCCAGCTAATAAGTAAAGATTAAATTATGGTGTTAAAAAATCATTATTTGAGAACTCCCTCAAAATTATGGATTCAGAAAATGGTTGAATACCTAAAATTATTGGGTAAAATGTTGTTAGGGAACAAGATACTCATATGGTCTCAGAGTGTTTTCTCTCAGATTACTTTACTTTCTAAAGACAAAGTGGAAGTGGAACACATACAATGAAGAGATTTAGTGAACACAATCTTACTGAAGTGACCGCATGTGGTATCATCAATAATGGGGGGAAAATGACATTATGTGCCTCCAATTTGAAGCGGTGGAAAGTAGGAAATACCACAATCATGAGGCAACAGCCGTATGAATCCAGACAGGGATACATTGTGCTAGACAACTGGCCTGGACTCTTAAAAAATGTCCATGTTTTGGAAGGAAGAAATGATACAGGAATTACTTTAGATCAAAGGAGACAAAACAGATATAAGCAGATGCATTGTATGAATCTTAATTGGATCCTGGATGAAAAATCAAAAGCTCCAGAGGACTTTGTGGGGACATTGAGGGTTTGCATATGAGCTACATATTAGTTGATAATAAAGAATGTGTTAAATTTATTGAGTGTAGGAGAAGGTCCTAGTTCTTGGGCAATACATATGGAAGTATTTAGGGTGAAAGTTATGATGTATGCAGCTTCCACCCCAAGTTCCTCCTGTTGTCTTTATTTAAACATTTTTATAGCCTTATTGAGGTATAATCTGTATGTAAAAATTGCACATAATACAACTTATTTTCAAATGGTTCAGCAAAAGTAAATAAATTAGTGTGTGTATTTATACTTATGTGTGTGTATCTATGAGAAAGAGAATGAAAATATGGCAAAATGTTAAGCACCATAAATTTAAGTGAAGAATACATGGGTGTTAACTGTAAGTCTTCAATAATTCTGTAGCTTTAAAATTTTCAAAATAAAAAGTGGAGACAGCAGAACGTCTTAATTTGCTTGCATGTTTGTTTCACAATAAGTAGTATTCACTGAACATCAAATTTTGGTTCTTGATCATTTTTTCTCTTTTATTGACTGGATGTTTTATCAACATTTTTTGGTGTAGATATCATAGTATAAAGATAGTTTTTAAGCCTCAAATCTCTACTCTTGGACGTTTATGTATTTTTTGGTTTTCAATGTTATTTTAACAAAACCAAGTTTAACATTTCTTCTTGTATTCAATATTGTTTGTGGAAATTTGAGACTATCTTCATAAATTCATTAGTATAGACTTAATCATAAAATATCTCTTTTTAATGTAATAATTTAAACATTATACAAATAGCTATTATATTAAACCCCATTATCTGAGAAATATTATGGGTTAAGTGTTAAGGCCCAATATAATAGTAATGAATATCCACTTTTTTCTTCCATAGAATCTGCTCTTATTCAAATAGCAATAGTATCCTATGTTTTCTTGGGGAAAGCAATCTTTCTGAATCATGAGTGTCGTTACTGTGGAATGTGACTCTGTCCCTGGCTCCATGGAGGCTTGGCTAATCCAGCATCACGTTTTCCCTGGCCCCAGTGACTGGTTCTGGGGTTGGCACATTGCTGTAGTTTGGATATGGTTTGTTCTAACCCAATTTCATATTGAAAGTTGACCCCAAGGTCAGAAGTGGGACCTAATAGAAAGTGTTTGCATCATGGGGGCAGATCCCTCATGAACAGATTAATGCCCTCTCTTGGGGTGAGTTCTCACTCTGTTAGCTCCCTCCAGAGCTTGTTGTTAAAAGAAGCCTGACACCTTTTCCTCTCTGTCTTGCTTCCTTATTCCCCATATGATCACTGCATATGCTGGCTTTCCTTCACCCTTCACGATGAGCAGAAGCAACCTGAGTCCCTCACCAAATGCAGATGCCAGTTCCATGCTTCTTGTATAGCCTGCTGAGCCGTGAGACAAATACACCTCTTTCCTTTATAAATTACCCAGTCTCAGGTATTATTTTATAGTAACACAAAATTGACCTAGATAGACACAAACGAAATCAGGCCAGTTAGTGTATTGGAACTCTTTGGAAAGAGAAGCTATATGTGTCAGAGTAAATACTGGTAGCATCTAAACCTAGAACTACTGGCTGCCACCTTTATTACAGATGGCAGCTGTGGCCAGTCTAGGAGCAGGCTGCCATGATGCTGGCTGCCCTGGGGGAGGCGCAGCCAGGACTGCATACTTCCTGGAATGCAGGAGCCAGGAATAAGCAGAAGCCCCGCCCACATCCAAGTTGGAGGGGGCTGTAACAGCCCAGCCGCAGCTGTGGACCTAGACATCTCTGCACTGTTGGGGACCCAGGAAGCCCCTCTTACTCCCACAGGCTTTGAAATGCCTGCTTTCACTGCCTGGCCTTTCCCTGCTCCTGGCACCCACTGTGATTTTGGAGCAAAGATGAGGCCAAGCTCAGGTGCTGTCATGACCTGGCTTGGAGTGTGCATGCTAGGAGGAGTGCTGACATGCCAGCCCCCTGCCACCCTGGTCCCCTCTGGACTTTGGGTTCTAATGAGCACAGGAGGGAGGCTGAGAGGTTGCTGAGGGTGACTTGGCACAAGCCTGCAGGTGCCCTGGGCACAAACAGTTTGGGTGAACAGTAAGTTGATGGTGGAGGGAGGCAGACAGGCTTCTGGGCAGAAAGGGGCAGGTCCCTGGTGAAGCTCCACCTTCAGGCCCGGGATGGCATGAAGCCAGAGGCCCAGAGTGCCAGTTCTGTGGACCGCAGTGAGAACTTACGGTGCTCTATCTGACTTGCCCATGGCCACCCATGGACCAATCAACATGCATTTCCTCTCCTCTAAAACCCATAAAAACCCTGGACTCAACCATACTAGGGCGTCAGGATGACCTTCCTGCAGAGAGGAACTACCCACGGTGGGTCTCCTCTCAGCTGAGTTGAGCAGACATTGGGAGCACCTGCCTGCAGAGAGGAGCTACCCACTGTGGGTCTCCTCTCAGCTGAGAGGTGAGCAGATATCAGGATGATCTCCCTGCAGAGAGGAGCTCACCCATTCCAGGTCTCCTCTCCACTGAGAGCTGAACTCATTAGGATGAACTGCCTGCAGAAAGGAGTTACCCATTTTGGGTCTCCTGAGAGCTGTAGTCTTACTCAATAAAGCACCTCTTCACCTTACTCACCCTCCAGTTGTCCACATACCTCATTCTTCCTGGACATGAGACAAGAACTCATGACCTGCCTAATGGTGGAACTGAAGAGTGGTAACACAAACAGGGCTGAAACATGCCCCTTGCTCACTACATTGTGGGTGACAAGAAGGAGAGAAGAGAGAAGGAGGGATGAGCTGTGACCCTTCAGGGAGCCCAGACCTAGGAGCACCCGAGGCAGGTCATTGACACCCTTTTTGGGGCTCTGCAGTTCCTGGCATCTCCAAGCTTCTGGGCACCACTGCATTCCCCGGTGCCCACAGTGGAAGCCACTTGTGGTGTGCCTGGTGCAGCTGCAGCCTTGCAGGGAGCCAGCACCTGTGCCAGCACTGAGAGCTACCTGCCTTGTCACAGTCAGCATACCTGGCTGTGTGCAGTGGCCAGACCCCACACTCGCTCCCTCATGTACCCCTTACTGCTCTGTGCCTGGCTTGCCCTTGGCAGGCATGGGACCCGGGCTGGATCCTCTGACATTACCACATATGTGGAGAGTCTGAATGAAGGTAAATTCTATATTGAAGAAAGCCAAACTGAGAGGGAAGCCAAATCCTGTTTGTTTTATCTCAGTCTCTGGATCTAGCCATGCCTGGGCTTTTCAGTTACATGAATCGAACAATAATAATACTTTTTATTAATAAATTGTTAATTCTTGATTATTATTTTCCTCATTTATTATATCATCAGTAATTCTTAATAACAAGAATTTATAACAAGAACATGTTTAGTTCTTAAACCTGTTTCAATTTATTTGTGATTACTAAAGAAGCCTAAGACAATGGTATGTAAAATCATCAAATCTAGGACTCAGAATTTCAGATCTTTTGTGACCTTAACCCAGTATTCTTTGCAAACTTAACAGAATGGCTAAGACTGGGCCATTATATCAAATAGCGCTGTCTCCTTATCTAGAAGTATAAGTGAGTTGTAAGAACCAGTGCAATTGTGTTGTTCTAGCTACATGCGTGCTTGACACTCTTCCAATTATAGATGACAAATTAATTACCAAATAAGCAAATCAGATAATCACAACTACCAGGAGTTTTTATCATGAGAAATCTCCTGCTGAGATGGTAAAATTATTAGGCAAATAATTACAAGGCTAGAACTAGCATCAGAAAGGACTCAACTTACCCATCAGTTTTCTAGACAATATATGTATATTTTCAAGGCATGAAGAATTATATAGTATAATATTCTTTTTTTTTTTAAGTCAACAAATATTTATTAAACACCTGCAGTTACTGGAAGGAGGCCATGATGCTGGACACACTGTCAAAGTCTATCTTCTCCACAAGGTTCTTGGGCTTAATGTTCTCTTCCTGGCTACAGATGAAGATCTGCCCTGACTCATCAGCACTCCAGGTGTATTTTCTCATCCACACCTTCAGTTGCCTGTCGGACAGATACCCAGGCATCTCGGCCAACAGTCTGCGGTCAATGTGCTGGTGAACCCATGACAGGGCAGATAAGCATTCAGACAGAGTCTTCAAAGCCAGTTATACCTTCCAAGAGGTCCATGTTTTCATCCAAGGCTTGCCAGAAGGCCTGAAAGAGGCTGGTCTCCAGGTCCTTGAGGTACAAAATGCATCGGATGGCCACTCTTCTTGATGTGCCTGGCCAATCATGCACTTGCACAGCGTGAAGTTGGTATGTGGCAGGTTGGTGAGGGCCTTCAGCTGGATCTGGGCAGTGATCGTGGTCTGAAAAAATGCTGGGTTGGACTGGTACAGCTTCAGGACAGCTGGGTTGGCTTCCAGATCATAGGCATTCTCTTTGACCTGCATCTCCACATAGCACTCCAGGGTGGCCAGCTTCTCAGGATTGTTCCTGTTGATACCCTTGAGCAGCTTGCCCACACTGGCTCTCATCTGCTCAGATATCAACATGACTGCTGTCACTTCCCACAGCGAGGGCTGGAAGTGAACACTGGACTGGCACGGTGTCCTCAAATACAGCATTCTTATCACTTACTCATTTTAAGGGAGTTTGTATAAAATGCATTTTTGTTCAAAAACAAAAAGGGTTCTATTGTCATACTTGTTTTTTATAAGCTCCTATTTTATATTATATCTTGGTATATCTGAGTAAGAGTGCTTTTTTAAATCAGGTCTTCATTGGTAAATCCTTTCTGTATGATAGTACAGTGTATACTCTATTTTCAAACCCAGAAAAATGCATGTCCTTTTTTTTTATATCAGTACTTTGGATATGTGATAGACATCTTTGTGTTTTGGTGTTTCAAAATTTTTAAGGCTATGAACAGGAATCGTATTTACCATCATCAATGATTGTGTTATCTTAATTAAATCATTATACTATAAAAACACTCCAAATAGATTTGCTTATTCTAGCCTTTAGATGTGATTCAAAAATAAAAAGGAAGTTCTTGGGAGGCCACTAGTGGCCTTTTCATGCACCTAAGTTATTTCCCTGGTGGCATAAAGAGCATCAGGGGACTAAAGGAAGACGCTGCTCCTAAGTTCTGGCCCTGAAGATAATTTGCATCTGGGTCTTTTTGTGAATTGAGTTTGAGGTACTGGGGTTGATGACTTCTAGGCCTAACCATCACTCTACAGAGACCACATCTTTGAGAATATTACTTTCTGTGCCTAAGAATGTTTTAAAGTTCAACTACTCTCTGTAGCACTATGTTTCTTGGAGATGAACTATGGAACACCTGAATTCAAATCACAAGGAATGCTTCTTAAAAATGTAGATTTCTAGGACCCACCTAGTGCAGTGAATCAGAAACTATGGGAATGGGACCAAATTAGTACGTCTAAAATAAGTACTCACAGTTGATTCTTACCCACATTAAAGTTTGCGAAGTATTGCTGTAGGCTACATCAACTTTGAGCTACATGTAGGTGACAGTCTGGGAAACAAGCTCTAATACAAAGTCTATGGATTAAATTGTCATTCAGCTTCCTAAATATTTGATTTTATATAACATCTGGATGAGAGTTAAAAGATGCATGGTAATTTTGAAAAATAATATGCAGATTTAATAAACTAAAGAAGAAAGCTTAGAACAAAAGATTTTATGCAAATGAGAATTCAGGGCCAACTCAGTGAATGACAAGCTATTCTTTTAACTCTCCCAAATCATATTCTCTAGGTACTTTAATAGAAGAAAAAATGAAAGCACAGCTGTTTCCCTTTGCTTTTTTAATAAGTCAATTATGCCCATTTTAATTATCCAATTTAACACATCCAACAATTAAGGCATTCAGATTTTGGTGCTAACAGTCATATTAAAACAACTCAGATCCTGTCCTCCCCCTCCAAACATCTGTAAACTATAATTTATGTGATAATATAGCTACCCACTTATTGTAATTGGCAAGATAGAATAGCCATTCTTGAAGACAATGGTTTTTCAACTGTGGTCGCACATTAGAAACACCTGAACAAATTTAAAAACATGAACTATACCTGTATTCCATTGTCAGACAACTAAATAAAGATCGCTGGAAAGAGCGAGTGCCCAAAAAGATTTTCTTAAATTCTCCAGGTGATTCTACTGTGGCTAGGCCTAGGATTCACTCCTCTGGGGCATTTCTCAGGCAGTGCCTTCTCTGACTCCATAAATGAAGTTCAGCCAAGAATAATCAGTGGAAAGATTGCCTGAAGTCAATGTTCATTACTTTCCAGGCTACTATCTTCAATTAACCCAGGTTGGCAGAATAAAAGTGGAGTGCTAGGACAGGATTGTAATGCCCTAGCAGACTTACTGTTTCCAAATTTCCCTTCTGTACTCTCATGTACTTTACTATTAGTCAATTATATCTGTATTATTCCAACTACTACTATGATGCCTGAAAAACAGGCTGGCATTTTTGAAAAAGAATTCTAGATTCCTGTCATTTTAAAGTGGAAACTTATCTGGTTCTTACTAACTTGCATTGATGAATTATGAAAAAGATGTTTTAAAACTAATCTGCAGTCACTGTAAAAGATGAATATATTCCTATGGATGCATGGGAATTTTATTTTAGCGAAAGAACCTCACTCTGCAGCCTAGGCTGCTGTAGAGTGGATTGATCATAGCCCACTGCAGCCTTGAATTTCTAGGCTCAAACGATCATCTGCTTGGCCTCCCAAAGTCTTGCGAGTATAGGCTTGAGCCACTGTACCTGGCCTGAAATTATTTTTTAAAAGGAAAACTATTATTAGTGATCCCTACTGATGGATCATTTGCATATGTAATTTGAGGTACAGGTTTCCTCTGTGACCACCTTTTATTAAAGTATTTATCCTTTGATTGATATGTAGGCAAAAACCCTCTTTGGATTTTAGAAGAGCCTGACTTTACAAATGTATGTAAACTCAGGCTGATTTTTAATTTATATTGGCTACCTAACAAAGTATCTTCTAAATTTTGTACAATACACACATTTATTTTGGTGGAAGACATTGAGTAAGTTTCTCTAATCTTTGTGGGTTTGTGTAATTATTATAAAAGTTGCATGTAAAATACTTGCAAATTTTTGCAAATATGCAAAAACTGGAAAATACACTCTGACAGCTAATGCTCTGAAAACACTTTATTACACAAATTACATTCAGATTCTGAAAATAGTGTTCTAACAGTGTAGCCATCTAAAAATAAGACATCCCAGAAACACACCAACTGAAGAAGAAAATTTAAAAGAGAATTTAAATAGAGACTTTTTTATTTCCCTCATTGCAATATAATGTTAGTGATTTTAAAAAAATAGGAGATTTAGCAGCTTTGTCGTCATGTAGCACAAAGTTTCTCTTTACTGCCACAGGCTGAGAATGCTGAACAGGAAAGGCACCAAAGAAAGACACTGGCAATGAAAGTGCTATTGGGAAAATACTGTGTTCAAGCAAAGAATGGGGTTATTTACATCCATCAAAAAGTCTCAAAGTGTAAATGGGCAAATCTTCCATAGTTAGATTAGTACTATGATGGAAAAAGAGGACTGTTTCTCTAGTCTATGTTCATATAAAGACAATGGCATTGTTATGAACTTTTAGGAAACTCCTCAACTAGAAACAGAAGCCAACTTAACCAAAAATGAAGTAAATAAAGTGTGTACAGTCCCACATAGACTAGTACAGTTTACAATTAAATACACAGAACTTTAAACGTGCTAAAGGGAAAGGAATCTGACATTCTGGGTAAATCTCACTTAATCTAAATCAAAGCTTGGTTTTCAGGAGGAGGAAGGTGCGGGTGCAGGCAGAGGTGCTGAATACTCCTCTTCTGATTCACTTCCGTCATCCTCCTCTTTCTCTTGGTCACTGCCCTCGGTGCTAAGCCGGTCAAACCCTTTTCGACTGTAACCCTTACGGCTTGCAAAGAAATTTCCAAGGTTTAAGCCTCCACTTCCCTTTCCTGAAAAAAACCAAACAATAACAAATTGGGTTAAGTTTGCAGCAGTGATTCTGTTTCCTTGTAAATTCTTAAATGGTAAACAAAGTCAGAAGGTGGGGATGGGAAAGGGGAGATTATTTTATTTATTTTAAAAAATAGAAAAACAGACAAAGAGACCTATCCTTCAGAGCCATATAGATGCTACTATTAAAAGAAAGAAGAAAAACAAAAGCTCCCAAGTATTATGTATTTCTGCGGGAATATTTCATATTTCACCTCCTGCTTTTCTCCAGCTGTCTGTCCAGAACTAGCCTCCCTGGAGCAGCTCCTCAGTTCAGTGACTTTAAGAAAAGGTCATCTTTACTATGACAAACATTGACATGCCAACAGGAGTGACAGAAAATTTGCTGAAGACAAATGAAGCCAGGTAAAAGGCAGGGAAAGAGAAGTAGATAATGCAGAATGGGAAAAATAAAACTGGGAAATCTGCTGCCAGACCCATGCACTTCAGTTTAGTTTACGGTGTACATTCTGTATTTACTCTGGGAGATGCTAAGCTGTATACAAGGTGCTTTATCTTCAGAGACAAAATATGAAATATCTCCTTGCTTTTTAAAAGACATGTGCTTGTTGACTTTGAACCAAACATAAAGGGTTCTAAAAGGTCATGGCATACCTCTAAATCTTCCCAGTACTCTTCCTGAACTTGTCTCGAGTTTGTGTTCAGAATCTGCTAAGAAAAGATGGCACATTTCAAAATGAGTCCCAGTCATCTTCCTCAACCCATGCACTCAACTTCCAACTTAAATTCAGGAACTTGTGAATGATAAAGCAAGACCTGGCTCTTGTCTGTATGCAATTCTAATTTTTAAGAAAGGCGGTATATTTTCGAGACATACATAAAGGGCCCAAGCTGGGTTTGACTCTGCCTGTGTCTCTTACTGGCTGTGTGATCTTGATAAATTACTTCTCTGAGCTTCAGTTTTCTCCTCTGAGAAAAGAAAGATCAAGGAGAATCCCTGTCTGTAAGGCTGAGATCAGACATTGCACGTGACACATTTAGAACAGTACCTGTAGATACACAGTAAATGCTCAATAAATCATAGCTTTTTTTTTAATCAGGAAAGAATTGTTACCAATAATTTGTAAAATTTTTCAATCTTTGGTTATTATAATTTAGGAATAATTGCCTTCAGCGTTACTATTTCTACTGACAGTATATTTCTTGCTTGAGAAAGCTTTGGATCCATGTATGTCATTTCTTCTTTATGTAAGACATAAGTGAAGGGAAAGGACATGACACGCTGAGTATTCTCCAAGCATAGTAGGTGACCTACATGTTCCCAATAGGACTGCCTATCTCCATAAAGGATAGACTCTCTTTCCTTATGGGGAGGCAGAACTCCTAATGGGTTTCATTATTTCCCTCGTTGTGTCTCTCCCTGTACTCTTTCCCAGACTTCATCACTCCCTAAAGGGCTATGGTCAGGAAAATCAGGCCTGGGGTTGTCCTGTTAGGTCTTTAACCAGGACTGAAGGCAGCATCACGGAAAAAGATAGCGGCAGATTAGATGAAAGGGAGAAGACAGTGATGTAGAAAGAAATAGGCAAGAAGGGAAGAAGAATCTGGTAAGACTGTTAGAAAGCCAACAAATTAGATTGTAAGTTCTGCAAGGATATTCCTTAGTTTTGTATCCCCCTGTGCCTAGCACAGTGTCTGATATGGAGTCAATACATAATAAGGAATGATGAATAAATGGAAGGTCCTTTATTAGGGTTTTTAATAACCTTAAACTGGATAAGATCTATCAAGGACAAATTTGGAAAAAAAGTGAGAAGCTGGTCTACTACTACTGCTACATATGAAACTGCAATTTTTCTAAGTAAAACCCGATCAAGTAATGGCAATTTTCTAGGGTTTGACCTGGGTTTCTGCCTTCCTAACACATTCCCGTAGTCAGCATCATGTAACAATGCTGTGTCACATGTGCTTAACAGCAAACAGGAGAGACCAAACCTTCCTTATTCCCTAGCCTCTGCTTCTGCCAGATTGGGTTGGTTACCACCATTCCTGCCACCTGCCCCTAGGCCCCACTGTTCCTACTACGCTGTGTATTTATCACTGCACTTACCATCCTCTACTATAATTTTTTTGTTTCATGTCTCTTTCATATGTTATCTATTTTGTGAGCTCAGTTGATTTATTTATTCATTCTTTCAACAACAATTTATTAAACCACTAGTATCAGGAACTATTATTTGTGCTGGGGACATATCAGTACTCAAGATATGGATTCTTTCTCATTTGAAGCATGTATATATCACCATGAAGACAATTACTATGTTTATTTCTCTTTGCCCCTACTTATGACAGTTCCAGATCTGTAACGTGGACTCAACAGAAGTCCTTTTTGGGAAGAGTTAACTCTATTTTTGCAGAGATTTATTGATGGCAGATGGAAAGCAAAAGAAAGTCCAAGAAAAATTCCCTTTTACAACATATTAAGTTGAATTTTCTGTTTTCTGTTTCCATGCCTTTTTCTGTGTCAGGGCTTTGCCAAGGGCGCTGAATCCCTGCCATGGCTGCCTTGACCTGAAATAGGATCAGATGCTGTTTCTTGATCAAATGCTCCCCGTCTCCCTGGTCCATGGATTTCTTCCCACACACAACTACAGACTTGCTCTAGGACTTGGGGACCCAGCCAAGGGACTGCTACTGAGAGGTGAGAAGCATGATTTGGGTTATTTGTTTATTTATTTAGATGTCCTAAAATAAACTCAGCTCTTGGATCCTGTATTGTGATAATTATTTCATAAAATACTAACTCTGGTATTAGACTCTGCCTTGTTCAGTTATGGAAGGCTGATGGTCTAAATTATGACTATTCAAAAACTATCAAATGGTTTGTTATAGAAATAATTAATTTTCCTTGAAAATGAGGTTTAAGACAAGTGTTTTTTATAACTTCTTATGCCTTTTATTACATTACCAATGATTATTCATCATAACCATTGGTGGTATTAATTGAGTACTTCCTAGGTTCCAGGTATCCTGATAAATGCTTATGTACATTATTTCATCTAATATTTGTACAAGCTTGTAAGGTAACTATTTTATCCTCACTTTTTTAATGAGAAAACTGGTCTGGAGAGATTAAGTAACTTGCCCATGGTCATGTAGCTAGGAGCTAGAGCCAGCCTAATGGGAAAAAAACACAACCCGAAAAACTGACCCAGGTACTTTGAGGACTGGGCCTCTTCCTAACAGCAGATATCTCCTCCTCTGGTCATTCAGCTAATTTATAGTGACTCTACTACCTACAATTTCATATGGAGACATTAATTGGGCTTAAGCCAGTTGCTCAAAGGTAGCATTAAAGGTTATATTTTAATCTAAATATCCAAATTTCAGAGTCTCCAGATACTATTTTTTACTGTGATATTAACTAGGGGCAATATTCGGAACACAGACAATAATGTCAAAAATGGTAGAGAGCATTAAACACAAAAAAACAAAGACAGTGAAAAAAATCCCAAGCAAACTCCTGAGGATAATTAGGCCAAACACTCTTTCAAAGGCAGGTTCCAAGTTCACGGGGCTCATTTTACTTGCCTCCAAAGGCCCTTGATTTTTTCCACCGAATAAATATGGCAATGGTCAGCAGGACAACCACCGGAATAACCAGAAGGGTTGTAATGAGAACAACAGGCACTCCCGAGCCTGGCTCTTTGATCAGTTTCTGTTTCTCTTGCATCTTCTGTAATTCTGAGGAGGTGGGTTTGTTCTCCATTTTGGTTTCAACAACTGCCTCGGCTTCTTCAGGGAAAGAAGAGTTCACAATATTCAACTGACTCAAAGATTTCAAACCCCCCTTACCCACCCCTACCCATTCAAATCAATAACTGTTCACAAAGAACTTGTTGACTCCAGTGTACATGGGGTTCATGTTTTAATACCTGAATCTACCAAGCTGGCAGCAGGCACTGTGATTAGTTATTTCCACTGAATCGTTTTTCACCTTCAAATTAGTTTTCTTTTATTCTACCTTTAATACCCTCTTTAGCTATAATTCCACAGAATATATATCCTTTTGTAGTTTTCCAAAGGTAAAATTAACAAGGCAGTACTGTGTAAGGGAAAGAATTGGTGTGCATACTGAAATCAAACAAACCTGGGTACAAATCCCAATTCTCCTATATACTAGCCGTATAACTTTGGGCAAGTTACTTAAATTATCTGGGCCATAGTAACTTCATCTATAAAATTTTAATAATAGGACCTCCTTCATAAAACTGTTGGGTGTAAATGTCTGTCATAAAAAATGCATATAATAAGTGTTTGCTTCCTTGTATCTTTAGTTTAAAAATATTTTTCATGTTCAATTAATTTTTGATACTTCAAATGTATGCTGCACACATTAATGCTAGGATTACAAAAGAAAAAAGGAACTATGTCCTTTTCAGGCTCTTTTATATTGTTTTCAGCAAAATGTGAGTACAGACAGATGAACTGTATATCTTTTTGTTACTGATGAAAATAACTAACAACTATTATAATAACTAAAATTATTCTGTAACATTGGCAGGCACTGGGTAGGTATCAAGCCTAAAGTACTGTTTGAGAAATTGATACAATGAAACTATATATATAGTTTTATATATATATATATAAAAGCTGCTGCAGTGATCTTAATAACTAATGACGTGAAAATGAGGTTGAGCTTTGAGACATCCTTGCCCTACTCTAGTGTACAAAGGCTAGTAAGAACTTGCCCATACTAAAAGTTAGAACCACATTTGCAGGAAGACTCACAGGTCATACTTTTCTGAAATTTCAATTTCTTGGTATGCCCTTCTGCCCTACAACACAGAATACATTGTAAAGCCTCAAGAAGATTTTGACAAAATGGTAGGGATAACACAATCAGGAAAATCTTTGGTTAATGTTTAGTAGGTATAGACTCAGCTTAGTAGCTTGCTGGACACTCCTCTGAATAAATGTTTCTCAAATTATTTAAGACACTGTCAACATAATTTATAATACAAACAGATGGTAGGTTCCAACTTTTCTCTTCAACATTCTGAGCCAGCGTCTTTTACAGTCTCAATGACATCTATTGAGTACTTACACCATCATCAGGCATCGTTTTCCTTTAATCATCACACCAAGCCTATGAGTAGGCACAATTATTATCACCACCATTTTGTAGATGACCTCATAGTCCTTTCCTTCCCTGTACTATGGCTAAAGGGACATTATCCTTTGTTTTCTTTTGTCCACTCAAGTGACCCTTGAAACTTGAAAGGGAGGGAAGGAAAGGAGCTGGTTCATAGACCTAGAAATGGTTCAAATATAACTTTTCTATGTCTAGTTTCTGAGGGGAATACAGGTGTGATTTCTATTCTTTCTGACCACTGATTGTTTTGTCTTTTTTTGTTTACTATAGGAAAGATATACAAAATTGCTCTATATTTAAGCTTATTCTATATTTAAATAAGACAGTTGCAATAAATAGATCATGGGAGTAAAAAACATAGGCCAAAGATGTAGGTTGGCATTTAAGAACTTGTTCCTTTTGGAAGAAGGAGTTGTTCCTGTTTTAAGTGGGTATTACCAGAGTAGTTAGTGCCTGTCATTTAGTAAGTTTATATGCACCTAATGTACAATGGGTATACGAGGTCATATCTAGTTTCATGGATAAGGCAGAACCAGAATTGGGCAACATTAAATGAAAGGAACTGTGGATGATACAGGTGAAAGACTAAAAGAATCAGTTTAGCATTCATAGAAAGTAATGAGAATGAGGCAATGAACGTGCTAAGATATAATACATACACAGCACTTTAGAAATTCTTGATTTTCACATCACTTCTGATATTTTGAGTGTTATCTACTAAAAATACTTAAACATTCCAACTTTTGGAACTGGCTGAAATATATTTAAGATTTAAAAGATGCTCTGTATTTTTAAAAAGGAGGCTAAAAATTTAAAATGTTCCATTCTGAAGAAAATAAACAATATTGCTACTCTTCACAAGAGCATTTATATGTAGGGTAAAATGCCTAAAACAATAGTTATAACTTAAGAGTCTAAGAATTCCACTGAAAGCATGAAGAATAATCCAAATTCTGCCACTTTCACTCTTTATCCTAAATTCTTTTATTAAAAATCCCAATAATTTGGAGCATCCATGATGAATGAAGAGAGAAGCAGCTCTAAGATTAGCCAGAACACTTGGTTTCTGGAAAATAGGAGGCACCTAGAATGACCATTCTTTTGTCATATAAAGTGCCAGGTGTATTCTGGGTAGAATAAACATGCCTTAAAATTGTATAAGAGTGCAAGCCCTTGTGGCATCTCTATAGATATTTGGAAATAAACAAATTTTCTAAAATCTGATGTATGACAGTTTTTCTTCTTCTTTAAAGCAATGCATTTAGAAAGGGAGGCTAGCTGCATTCCTTTGTGAGTGCACATATATACATATGTGCAAATCTGTCTCCCTCTAACAGAAGAGAAGTCTAGAGACCACTTGGAATTGGAATAACTGGGACAGGAAGGGAAGGGCATTCTTAATACAGCAATTGTATCCCAGTTCATCACAGACAGAACTGAAGGTCTGAAGGCAAATGGCATACTAGGAAGTAACTGGTTAGAGGACATGAAAAGTGCATATAGTACCAATGAGATCATTCTTTTTTTCTTAAATGTAATGTGCTTCCTTACAATGTGTTGATTACCATAAGGCCTAAAAAGCTAACTGCACTAAAGAGGTTTTTTGATTTTTTAAAAGTTTTATTGAAAGTGATGTAAGGCCATTATCATCTTATATTGGGGGGGGGGTGCCTGGGGGTGAGGGCTATGCTTTGGTGAGATATTGGTATGCCTGTTTTATCTCTAGTAACTTTATTAGAAAGTTTAAATCCTTTTCATTAGTTTTTTATCATCTCAAATTATCTTATCCTTACAATTTCCTTAGAACACTGGTTCTGAAACCTTTTTAATAGTAATTAGTTATATGACTATCCATAGTAGGGATAAGTGTTATCAAAGGCAACTCAAATTTGGGGATTTAAAATTAACATGTAACTACAACGCTATCAAGTCTGAAACTGTGTTTTCCCTTCTCTTTTATAAAGGGTTGTTTGAATTAAGCTTCAAGATATTGATAAAAAAAATAAGATCTAGAAATCCAGCATGATTTACATTCCCTTTGTAATAAGAATATAATCTTAAAAAAAGGTTTAATAAGAGTCACATGGGTTCAAAGAAGAAGAGACAACTTCATTTGAGTTTGGGTAAGTGAAAACTGGACTGTCAAGGCAAGACATTTCAGTAAAATTTACTGTTTGAACTGCTGGGTTTGACCACAAAGTCAGAAGGTTTCTGACCAATTGGACTCAGTGGTGTGCACATGGGAGAGAGGAAATGGCCTATATGACAGCATTATTCATCCTTCATTGACCGGCTAAGGTGAGGTCAGTATGGCTAAGCTGTTCTCAGCAGGCCAACCAGTACCACCTAGAATTTTTTGGTGAGATCTATTTAAACAGAAATGATCTGAGACTATTTTAAAATTCTAGAGGTTTCAGAGTAAACTATAACCATTCCCAACTTGCAGTTCTTGGAAGAATTTATAGTGAATGAACTGGTGGTATCAGTCTCTCCTCAGCAGTATAGCAATAGTGGTTAAGAGTGCAGACTTTGGTACCAAACAGATTTTGGTTTAAAGCTTGATTCTAATATTTACTGTCTAATATTTACAGTAATTCTGATCCTCAATTTCCTCATATGTAAAATGGGGATAATAGCAGTTATTACAAGGTTGGCATAAGGATTAAATGTAATAATTTCTGTATAGCCCATTGTTTCTGCTCTGTAAGTGATAGCTACTATTAACAGTATGATCTTTCCCAACATTTTTATTCCAGGACAAACAGAACTTGCCAACAATTCTATATATAGCAAAGACATAAAACTAGGGGGACAGGAACCTTCCTTAGTATATGAGTGTGATATGAATGCCACTTCATAGTGTCACTTGGGTAGGATCTCTACAAATGCCAAATAATTGCCATTTGTTTTATAATATTATATTACCCATTGAGCTGGCTATAGTTTCTTATCTGTCTACATAAAATCCTTAAACTCCCCCTTGCTGTTGCTGCTTTTCATTTCTTTTCCAGCTGCTTTGATGAGAAAAGAAAACAAGTAAGCCTAGGGTTGTGTCTGAATGTCTAGGTGAATCATTTGTGAAGCAACTAATAATGGAATCCCTTTGCTACTTAAATATTAGGTAGCATGAGAAACTCATGGCGAGTCCTTAACTGGAAATGACATGTCAAAACCCTGCAGATGTTAGAATGTACAAACATAAACTGATCCTAGGAAAGAGACAAAATAAGTTGACAGGGACTCCATATGAACCCAGTGGTTGCTTACCAATAGCTAAATCCCATTTCCCTAGTCTTGATATTATATACCAGTGATATGCTTATTTGTATATGTGTATATGTATGTAACTTTCCCCCTCTCTCCTTATAAGGCTATAAGGTCAGGCGCAGTCTCATTTCCCTTAGACCTGCGATAGTGCTTTACACCCAAAAGGCCCTCAGTAAATCGTGGGAGCTGAATAAGATAGAAGCTAAAGAAACAGCTAATCTTTCCATACTATTATAGCACTGACCCACCAAAGATATTTGTCATTCCTTTATATTAATAGAGCATATTAGGAAAAGGTTTTTCCAATATGCCAAATAGTATTTTTCTACCTGCTTGGGGTTAATGTACTCCCCAAAGTGACTGACTTCTTTTCTTCTCTGAATATCTCTGGCTCACTAGTTATAGATTTCTTGTATCCTCAATCACTTTCCATCACTTGAAATCAGTAATTTGAACTCATTATGACTGCTCCATTTATCAAAAAAGAGAAGTGGCAACATACAGGTTTAAAGGCTCAGTACATAGCAGAAGTCATTGATAATTTACCAGATTATATTTTTAGCCTGGTAATTTTTTAAGTTGCAGTCAAGGGCCATAAAAGAATTCAACACAGCTAGACTTTGGTTTTATAGTAATAAGAGGAATCCGACCTACCTTTGATTTCCTGGACCTCAATGCCAGCCTTTTTAACTGATCGATGTTCCACTTCTGTAACAGCACAGCAAGGAGAGAAAAAAGTCAGAATCTCCAAAAAGAACATTTGAAAATTTAACTTTGATATTAATTTTACTCAGTAGAAAATATTTCCTTAATTCATCAAATGCATTATTATATTAGAAAAGAGTTCAATGCAAAGTACTAATTAAGTGGTCTATGAATCCTGGATAAAATCTCCTAGGGAAAGCTAAAATATTTCTAAGGACTTCATATTTAGAATGAGCTTTTTCTTGTAGAGTTCATAATATTGTATTATTTCTGAAAGACCAAGCAGTTCTGCTTTCATGTGGACAATATCTTAGACTGATTACTAGTTCTGCCATGTTGGGTTACCAGTCTTCTAGTTGATGTTAATGGATTTCACCAGTTAACTACAAGGATGCAAATAAATAAGACACCGATTTAATCCTGAGTGGCAGTCTTACTGTTCCAGATGTACTGTTTTCCAGATTTATTGCACTCTGCTCTATGCAGAGGGCTTCTCTATTTTGAAGCTGAATGCCATATTGCTGTGCTTTTCCACCAGGAGATGTACCAAAGTCACTTGGGAGAACTTTCTAAAATACACATAATATTCCTCTTCTTTCTGTATATCTTGAGTGGGGACTGGCCATGTGTATTGTAACAGTCCCTGCCGCAGGTAAATCAGACATGCATCTTCAGAGTTTCAAACCACCAGGGTGGTATAAAGCAGGGGTCCCTAAACCCCGGGCCGTGACCTGTTAGGAACTGGAACGCATAGCAGGAGGTGAGTGGCAGGTGAGTATAACCACCTGCGCTCTGCCTCCTGTCAGATCAGTGGTGGCATTAGATTCTCATAGGAACCTGAACCCTTTGGTGAACTGTGCATGCAAGGGATCTAGGTTGCATGATCCTTGTGGAATAGTTTTATCCTGAAACCATTCCCTCTGCCCATGGTCTGTGGAAAAACTGTCTTCCATGAAACTGGTCCCTTAATGCCAAAAAGGCTGGGGATCATGGCTGGGCCTTAGACTGAAATCTTAATGAGTTCAGGAATCACATTCCTATCCATAAAATTAAGATATTGGCTAGATTTTCTTCTGAATTCTTCTCCATCTTTAAAAGTATTTGTGCATTTGTTTTTGTTCTGAAAATCCTCAGTTTAGTCATGCAGTTAGGGGTTCTCCATCTATCTTTGCCTTCTTGTCTGACCACGCCTTCTGGATCCTCTTTGACAATTCAGGTGGTGAGACAGCCACATTTGCAAGGGAAATGTGAAGCTACTGCTGGAGTGGCATAGTCCATGGGCATCTCTGCTCACTCAATCCTAACTTGGTTCTTCTTACACAACTGCAAACATTACTCAAAGGATAGTTCTGACTACAAAAGTTACCAAATTAATTGATATCCAAACCCTGTATGGTATCTGATTTATGTGTTTGGACTCCTGGTTTTACTTTCCATTGCTGTAATTTGTTTTCCTGCCTTTTTATAATTTATGTTTTTACTTTTATAATTAACATTTTTCTTCATAGTTTACATATCTTGTTTTTGTCCTTTATCTAAAACTACCTGCTGCAGCTCCTGATACCTCAAATTTATCATCCCCAATTATTTTCCTTACTCTCACCTTCTCCTATTTGGGCCCTGCCATGTTTTAAAAGTATTTCTGGACATTGAAGTTTATGTCCTATCAAGCATTTGGTACACTTCAATTTAAAAAATTTATTTGTTTTAGCATGATATTAGGGGTAAAAAGTTAGTCTACTTTTTAGGGATTAAAAATGATGTCCAAATTGCAATTAGAAAACTCTAAAACTAGTTAGCGGGATCCTGATGCAGCAAATCTATACTTAGACAAAACATTTTGAGTTACATGAAAATATAGCAATTCAGTTATTTGGGAAAGCTGAAGTCCAAGCAGAAAATTTGAAGTGCTTCCTCTTTGGGATAATATATCTCATACAGATGCTGGTATCTCTAGATGCTCAGCAGCTGCTGAGAGCTAAAGGGCCATATGGGAATTATGCCTTATGGAAAGAAGTCAACCCCTCTGCTTTGCCAAAGCCCCCTCCCTCCTTCTGGAACTAAGCTGGAATTAATGTTGACTTTTAATGTAACAGACAGTACTTCAGGCATCAAGAATTTCCTGTGGAAACAAGGGGATAAGTGCCAGCAAAAAAAAAAATCATGTTTCTTTCCACTTAATGGACACCAAATAGGTCTTTTAACAACTGCTTTATACCTTGATTCCTACTCTCATCAGTAAAAAGGAAATGCAAATGTTTTTGTTTCATATGCTTTTAAGCAACCAAACTGAGGGAAAATGTGAACAATAATACTACGAAAACCATACTCTCAGTCAAAGTGAACTTCCACACAGTGCTGGTATGAGCATCTCCAATGTACACGGTCCCATCTTCAGATGCAACAATATCATGAGGCATATCAAAGTGCTGCCAAAAGAAGAAGCCACACATTAAAGTGGTGAGCCTTTACTTGAATCCTTCATGAAAAGGCAGAAAAACAAAGCAAAGTCAACAACAAAACATACTGCTCAAACCAAAGCAAAATATTTCCTATTGAAGCAACTCAAGGCTGAAGGGAGTCATTCATTCATTCATGCTTTGGGTACTGACTCTTCCAGACATAATTCTAAACATTGAGAAATGCTAAGGAACCCCCACCACTGACTTTCAAGTATTTTAAGTGTTAAAATTTACAGGTAGATTATTTTTTACAATACTGTTTACTTGGTGTTACATTATGTCTAGTTATTTATATTGATTTTTGCCTTCAAGTTTCATCTACCTTTTAATAACTATCAAATTTACTTTTTAAAATTTGTACAAGTAAAAAAGTCTAGGTATTAATTTTTATTATTCCCATCAAGCTATCATGTGCTACCTTAAAAACTATTTGTATATTATCGATAAGAAAAATCATTTCAGAGATTTGGGACATTTAATTTTTTGAAATATATACTAAGAGATATGTAGCAATGTGGGGTTTTATACTCTTGAAGTCTTATGTTTGTGATGTTTTCAGTCAGCAAAGGAAACAAATTGAGTGTTACCTCCAAGTATTTCCTGGGCTTTTGTCCCTACTTCAGATGTTCTGCATTTTAATATATCTTTCTCTATTTCAAATCATTGTCATCTCCATTATGAGGACACAAGAGACAGGGGAGATCCTTTTGTGACTTTCTTTTAGGGGTCACCAAACTAGTTCTTGGAAGAGAAGGCTTAAAATGTTGTGCTGCTGACATTTCCATCTGTCTCTGGAAGCCTCCAAAAGTGTCCTGGATCTGGCAGTTGGCAGGATATAGATAACATCTGTCACCTTTGAGGCCAGAAGTCCTTCCTGGATACACAGTTATCAAAAATATAACTACTGAGTACCCAGACTGTGGGCTTATCAGCCAACATCTGCCTACCTGATGTGCTGAGTTCAAAGGGAACTAATGAGACAAAACTACTGTTCCTAGCTCAGTTTAGGTGGAACAGAAGAATACATGCTCTGGAGATACTATTGTACTTTAGAAATCATCAAGTTTATCACACTGAAAAGAAAAATGAGATAGCTGTGCCAAGGAGTCTCATTTTTTTCATACTTTCAAATAAGCTGTGACAAATGTGTAGAGAAAAACAGAGAGTCAGAAATCAAAATGCTGCCTTGCTGAAATACTGCAGGCTTGTCATTAAATGTTCATCTTTTTTGGGAGGTTCAGTTAATGGATGGCAAAAGACTACCAAATGATAGGCCACTCCTGTTCTATACTGTAATATATTCTTAGAAGTTTCTTTGTAAAACATATGGTTGTAGAATACTTCATATTTTCTGATAGAAAAAATATAATGATGGGGAAATAAAGGTGAGGAAGGAATGTGTAAACTATTCGCTGGCTAAGAACTTTGCTTTACATAAATCACAATATGTCATAAACTCAAGGCAACAACAATAATAAACCTTTATTAGTGGCTCTCAAATAAGAGAGTCACTAATCTGTATTTCTAGCAGAACCTTGGTCCCACTGATCCACGGAGCCAAAGTTTCTGCTAGAAATACAGTACTTTGGGGCCACTACAGGAACTCAGGGAGGGGCTTAGTAGATGCAATCAGAAGAACTCAGTTGTAATCTTTTCAATGAACTGTTCTACTGCTTTGTGTCATTTGAAACAAAATTATGTTGTTAAATTTTAAGACCAAGCTTTAGTATTTTTAGAGCTACACAGATTTAAAGATCTTCTAATCTAGCCTTTGCAGACTCTTCTTTTAAAGTACCCCCAGCAAAATAAAATTGACATGAGAAAAGCATGATAGTATCTTCACCAGGCATCTGGTGACAAAGCCTGGAGCAAACTGCCTTCAAAATCTTGTATTTGATTTTAAAAACTCATAAGGAAAGTTGTGTTCTATTCCATAGCATAACAATGTTTACTTTAACATAGTAAGTTTAAATCTACTTAATATTAAGTAAAACAGTTCTTCTAAGTTGCACAATGTTCATGTTGTGGCTTAATATAGCCCTTGGCATACTAATGTGTACTTCAGGAACGAAAAAGTTAAGAACATTTCAAAGTCAGAAAGACCTAGGTTTGAGATCCACGTATGCTACTCCACGTAGTCTGAACAAGTAATTTAACTTAGGTGAACTTTTCAGCTCAAGTACTGTCATTTTAATCATCACTGTGAAGGTTGGAAAAACAACATAAATCTGGGGTCACTTTTTTTTTATCTTTTGATATGGAAGGCTGGGGATCATTCTCTTCCTTTTCCCTATGAGCTGCTACACAGAAGATGACAAAAAATGCCTGTCTGAACAGTGTGTATAAAAGCAGATATTGAGGGACCACAAGCCTTTCCTTTGATTACAGGGGGAATGACTTGGGGATTGACAATGTGTATTTTTCTCTCACAGCTTTTTGATAACATCTGATAGAACCATTTTCTCTATTGTCCTACTGTCTAAGCTTCCCTGCACAGACATAAAAACAGAGTCCCTACATTCAGATGGAAACATCTCTAAAGAATGTAATAAACATCTCTAAAGAATGTAATAGAGAACTGAAACATAAGAGGAGATAAGGAGTGGATATGCACAAACAGAAGCACAACCTCCTTATGTAAAACTTGACCTTTGATGTGAAGAGGGATCTCTTTTTACACAGGAGTCAACAGACCATATTATTTCCTTCACTCGAAATTAATCTTTGTGATAATAATCTAATTAAATGAAAATTCTGAGAGATTTACAAACTGATTTCAGTTTACTGTGTCAACACAGAATATATTTCTATGTTTTGGTGTAATATCAAGTCTTATTTACTGAAAGGAAAAGTAAACTTCATCTTGGAGTGAGACTGTCTTTTCAAGTTTGCTGAATTGACCCACATATTGTGACTCATTCTTTGCCTAACATCTGATGAAGGCACAATGCTTTGGAAATTTTAATTGAGAACTCTTCAGATTTTTATGAGGTTAAGGCTCATGTAGCCTCTTGCTTAGCACTTAGTTTTGATTTCTAGATGCATATTTAAATTAAAAGTTAATATCCTGGTTGACACAGTACATTATCATTAAAAGAACAAGCAAGGCAAACACTCCACTAATACAAAGCAAAGAACTGAGAGAAAGTTAAGCATCTCGCGTCCTTTACCAACAGACATGAGGAAGTTAGCTCAAAGGGGCACAGTAATGAAGACTGGATAATCAATAAGGATCTGAAAAACTAGAAATAAAATATTATCAGTGTAATGAATTTCTTTCTGCAGGGCTGCTATGCTTTGAGATTTCATTGCCTGTTGCTTTTCTGGTGAAATATTTCTAGAAAAATTTTATTTGTTTATATAAATAGAAACCTAAAGAAAGGAATTTATACTGGAATCTTTAGTTTAGATTCCTTTTGGTTATATTCAGATCCTGTTACTATGGCTAAAAGCTCCAGTGAAGAAAAGGCTGTGTCTCTTTCACCCTTACACCCTTATTCACCTTTGTACCCTTAGTACCTAGCGTAATGCCTGACACAGAGTAAGTATTTAATGCATATCTCTGAAATAAAATTTGATAAACACCAGACTAGCTGTCAGTATTCTAACAGACAAATTTCTATGAATAAAACATTGAAGCATTTTACTTTCACCACTGTTACTCAACATAGTACTGGAAGTCTTAGCTAGAGCAATCAGACAAGAAAAAGAAATAAAGGACATCAAATTGGAAAGGAAGGAGTCAAATTATCCTTGTTTGCTGATGATATGATATTTGGAAAACCCTAAAGACTCCACCAAAAAAACTATTAGAAGTGATAAATTCAGTAAAGTTGCAGGATACAAAATCAACATAAAAAATCAGCAGCATTTTTATATGCCAATGTGAACAATCTGAAAAAGAAATAGAAAATGTAATCCTATTTACAATGGCCAAAAATAAAATTAAATACCTAGGAACTAACCAAAGAAGTGAAAGATCTCTACAATGAAAACCATAAAATGCTGATGAAAAAAACTGAAGAGGACACACACAAGAAGGGAAGATATTCCATGTTCATGGATTGGAAGAATCAATATTGTTAAAATGTCCATATACCCAAAGCAATCTGCAGATTCAATGCAATCACTATCCAAATATCAATATTCTTCACAGTAATGAAAAAAATTCTAAAATTTATATGAAATCACAAAAGACCCAGAATAGCCAAAGCTAACCTGAGCAAAAAGAACAAAACTGGAGGAGTCATATTACCTGACTTCAAATTATACTACAGAGCTATGTAACCAAAGCAGCATGGTACTGCCATAAAAACAGACACATAGACCAATGGAATCACATAGAGAACCCAGAAAAAAAATCCACCCACCTACAGTGAACTCATTTTTGACAAAGTTTCCAAGAACATACATTGGGGAAAGAACAGTCTCTTCAATAAATGGTGCTGAGAAAACTGGATATCCACATGCAGAAGAATGATACTTGATCACTGTCTCTCACTTTATACAAAAATCAAGTCAAAATGGATTAAAGAGTTAAATCTAAGACCTCAAACTGTGTGTAATTACCACAAGAAAACATTGGGGAAACACTCCAGGACATTTGTCTGGGCAAATTTTTTTTTGAGTAATACCCTACAAGCACAGGCAACCAACGCAAAAATAGACAAATGGGATCACATCAAGTTAAAAAGTGTCTGCACAGCAAAGGAAACAATCAACCATGTGAAGAGACAACCCACAGAATGAGAAAAAAAATTTGCAAACTACCCATCTAACAAGGGATTAATAACCACAATATATAAGGAGCTCAAACAACTCTATAGTAAAAAAATCTAATAATCCAATTTAAAAAATGGGCAAAATATTTGAATAGACATTTTTCAAAAGAAGACATACAAATGGCAAACAGACATATGGAAAAGCACTCAACATCACTGATCATCAGAGAAATGCAAATTGAAACTATAATGAAATATCATCTAACTCCAGTTAAAATGACTTTCATCTAAAAGTCAGGCAATAACAAATGCTGATGAGGATGTGGAGAAAAGGGAACCGTTGTATACTGTTGGTGGGAATGTAAATTAGTAAAACTATATCGAACAGTTTGGAGGTTCCTCAAAAAACTAAAAGTAGAGCTATCATATAAGCCAGCAATCCCATTGCTGGTTATATGCCCAAAGAAAGGAAATCAGTATATCAAAGAGCTATCTGCATTCCCACATTTGTTGCAGCACTGTTCACAATAGCCAAGATTTGGAAGCAACCTAAGTGTCTGTCAACAGATAAATGGACAAAGAAAATGTGGTACATATACACAATGGAGTGTTATTCAGCCACAAAAAGAATAAGACTCTGTCATTTGCAATAACATGGATGGAACTGGAGAACATTATAAATGAAATAAGCCAGGCACAGAAAGACAAACATCACATGTTCTCAATTATTTGTGGGATCTAAAAAAACAATCGAACTCATAGATATATAGAATAGAAGGATGGTTACCAGAGCCCGGAAGGGTGCTGGGCAGTGTGTGAGTGTGTGAGAGTGTGTGTGTGTGTGTGTGTGTGTGTAGCGGGGGGTTAGGTGGGGATGGTTAATCAGAATGATTTTTTAAAATCAGAATGAATAAGACCTAGTATTTGATAGCACAACAGTAGGACTATATTCAATAATAATTTAATTGTACCTGTTAAAATAACTGAAAGAATATAATTGGATTGTTGTAACACAAAGGATAAATGCTTGAGGGAATGGATACCCAATTTTCTATGATGTGATTATTACACATTGCATATCTGTGCTAAAATATCTCATGTACCCCATAAATATAAACATGTACTGTGTAACCACAAAAATTAAACATTAAAATTTAATTAAAAATAAAATATAATATTGAGGCATTTTAAAGTTTTTTAAATTAGCAAATCTCGTATCTTAGAAATAATATAACATCATAAGTGTCAGGATATAAACTTGGTTCAGTAGCTGATGATAGTTGCATTTTGATCCAATTAAAACCAATGAATCTTTACATGTTTTGAAGAATAACACTTATTTGCAGCATTTTAGCAGACTGAATTTTCTAAATTTGATATACTCCAAGCACATTCATACAGTGTAGAGAACATTCTGATCACTCTGGCAATCATACTGCAGAGAAAGTACACTGAGAAGACAGAAGGGCCATGGGCACACTGAACACAGTTGCTGTGTTTATAAAAAGCATGTTAGAATAAACAGTGGGAAAACACTTTTGAAGCCAAAAGTAGCTTTTAGTTTCTTAACTAAACCAAATCTTTAGAACTTGAATAAATTCCAGGAAGTGCTATTTTCAAGTCTTGTTGCTTAGTACCGTCATAGCAATAAAGAAAGCAAACAAGATTTCTGTTGGGTCTAAGAGAACTATAAGAGTACACTTAACGTGATGTTTTCTCTACTTGGATGGAACCAGAAAGAGACTGATTTATTTTTTGTATTCTAACTATAGTGAATTTAAAAACCTGCCATCATATGCAGGTGCAGTTCTACTAAGAAGCTTAGAACTGCACACATGCTAATTTGCATCTGAAGAAACTGATCTAGGAATAGACAAGGACATTTATTCTAAATAAAATAAAAAATAAAAAATAAAATAGAACACTCCCATCAACTTTGCTAAGAAAGTTACCACATCTTCTTAAAAGTTTTTCTAAAACTATTCAAGTGCAGATTGAATGCCAAGATTTATATTTTAGTTTTCTTCTCAAGAAAATTGAAACCTAGACAATATATATAAATACCTTGCGCACTGGCTTGAAGATGTCTATAATTTCCCCACTGGAAAAGTTCATCACAAATCCTTGTACAGGTTCTTGGTCCCCAAAATGAGACTTCCCATTCACTGCGAAGAGCAAGCCTGCAACAGCAAATCCAGTCAACCTTTCTTTAAAATATGGGCAAGAATGGACTTCTAATATATCCACATGTAGTAGGCAAACAATAAATTTAGGGTCAAGCTGGTCCCTACAATTGGCAACAAAAGTAGAATATAAAATAGTGTCTCCTCCTGAGTAACCAGATCAGTGGCAAACAAGTTAGTGGACTAACTTCCTTGTAATAGGAAAATCGGGAACTGAAATGTGTGTTCCACTTGGAAAGTCAGTAGAAATCAGGAATACATAGATATTGATATATAGATATAATATGCATATATAGCTATTACAGGCATCCTAAATAGGAATTGGGGAAAGTCAGGTTATTTAGGCCAATAATTTTGGAGTCTCAGATCTTTTAAAAAATAAGTAATATTTGCCATAGCTACAAGGAAAATCCAAGAGAAAAACAAAGAAAATAACTGAAGTTATAGTCTATACAGAACAATCTGATTTTAAACAACTGGAATTTGAAAACATGAGATGTATATTTCAGATTATCAAATACATATTTTTCCTTAATTAAAAAGGCCATATTTTTAATTTTCACACCATGAATATACTTTGTAGTAAAATTATATTTCCTAACACAATACTATTTATTCAGAACAATGAAAATGGTGGTGTTTACATTAAATAAATAATTCAGATGATTGAACCACTACATTTTCAAAGAATTAAAACATAATAAAGTATACACAATGCTAAGCCACCATTTAAGATATTTTCATTATTCTTGAAGGATTATAGTTTTTTCTAGGATGTGCTATAAAAAAACTATAAACATCAATTACTATTGTGCAAAATTATAAAGAAAATTATCTTTTGCTTAGATTCTGTTCTTAACCAGATTCCTTCTCAACTGATAATTTTCTTCTTATATTTAATTTATTTTTGTTTATTATGAACTTGATCACCCTCTTTATTAAGTAAATGGTCCTGACAAATTTTTCTTTAAATGTACGGTAAACCAACCTAAGGAATCACAGTTGTGAGAACCTCTTATTACTTTTTCTTTATTCCTTGAGGAAGCCAAATTTGCTCTCTATCCAATCACCTGAGTCCCTTGATTTTATGTCCTAAATAAGTTGGGGGGCTGCTTGGTCCAGACAGTAGCCACATGTAACTTAAAAGAAACATAAATATTGCAGTAATACCTATAAATAGTCAATGCGACTTTGATACAGGTATAAATATTTTTATTAAAATATATTGTGCCCTTTAATTGTGAATTTTTCAAAAATTCCTCCTGTTATTGATCTCATTTCACTCCATTGTGAAAAGAGTATATTTTCAATGTTTTCACCATGAAAACATGGTGAGTATGTGAGGTGATGGGTTTGCTAATTAGCCTTACTTAGTCATTCCACATTGTAAACATACATCAAAATATCACATTGTACTCTACAAATATATACAATTATGTCAATTACAATTTTAAAAATATTGTAATAATTGTATGTAAATTTCAGAAATTAAATATATTTTCAGTAGTTCATTATTTAAAGAAAATATGGTAAGTTGTTTTGTAATATGTTATATGTATTTTATTTTATTAGTCTGACTTATTTTTCAGATTTTCTTAAAGTCAAGAAAATCTGTTATGAAAATGAGAAAAAAGTTCAAGATTTTATTGATTATTTATCGTCGTATTTAGGCATAAGCCACACTTATTTTTACGTATTTTATCTTTTAAAAAAATTGGTCACTACTATTTTTAAAAATGTGAAACGAGTATTTTGAATACTGATTTTATCACATATATACCATCTGTTGATGTGTGAAGACAAATGTTAATTATTTAGTACTGGAGCAGATGATCATAATTAAGAGAAAATGAAAATCAATGTTTGGGAGCATTTTTAACCCCTTACAAACAGGTGTTAAATCCTTTGAGTTCTTCATTGTTTCTGTACAATGAATAGTGGTACTTTAATCAAAACTGAGTTAGAACACACTAACAGTTTTAAGATACTTTTAAGATGTGAAATATAATGTATCTTCAACCTCCAACAAGAAAGGAAATTTGTAAAAAGAGCACATTAAGATAAAACAATTTTTAAGGATAGAGTACAGTAGGACAGAAGACAACAAACATATTAAGATGAAATACCTGGTATATATGAAATTGCAAATACATTTCTTCCAAATGATGAATGCTTAATCTCTCTCACAAATTCTTTGGTGTCAGTTTTAAAACACTGGATCCGACCATTTTCCCGGTCTGCCACACATAATTGGCCCAAATGAGGTACAAGTGCCAAGCTGTGAGGAACGGTGAACTGGCCTGGCAGAGGACTGCTCCCTGAAGACTCTGCAGAACAAAGAAAAGCCTTAGATACACAACTTAAAAAATCACCCAAAGTTGGACTCTCTAGTATGTTTCTAAATTCATGATAGTAAACCATTAAATGCCTGGAGCCAGGGGAAAGATAAGGTAAAGCAGTTTATAAGTTTATTTTATAATGTCTTTTACCCACAAATGCATTACAGATTTTCTCCCTATTTGGACAGTTTTTTGGTGGATGCATTATTTTCCTTGTAAGACGTGTGTGTGTGTGTGTGTGTGTGTGTGTGTGTGTGTGTGTGTGTCAACCTAACTGGATGCACACAATGACCCAGGTTACAATGACCCTGTAGGGGACAATTACGGCTTAAAGAATGTGAGTGGTGGCCAGTATTGAGTTCCCAGTGATGCCGGCTAAGAATTACAATTGGAAATTAAGAGTCTTATTGGGTACCTTCTCCCCACTGTGTGATGAACTCTCCACTTGGTGAAAACTGCACAATCCTGCTGTTGCAGTAACCATCTGATACATAAATGGCTCCAGTGCCTGGATCCACAGCCACATCAGTGGGTTGACAGAAGTGATTCTGGTCACTGCCTGGTTGCATGCTCCTTCCCAAGATTAATATAGGGTCTTCTTTATTGTTTGGATCCAGTTTGAACACCTTTTTAAAAAGGAACAAAAGCCTTACCTACTTTTCATGGTTATTAGTGATTTACGCCCACGTGACTAAGACCACTTTCACAAGCAATTGGAGTAGAAGCTCCCAGGGACTTATTTAAAAGAAGATATTAATACATTTTACAACTGAATGGGATCCTAGAAATCATCTGGTCTGGTTCCTTCATTTGATAATAAAGCCTATGAAGATTAAGTGATTTGCTCAAGATCACCTGGTTAATTAGTGATGAATGGAGACTAGTACATGGATACCCAGTTCCGTCCACCCTGATGTTTCCTTTTTGTCTTTCCTTAGCTAATACTACAGTGCACTCCAGATAATACATGAGCAATAAATGTTTACTGAGATGATGTTTTCCAAGTTATTTGCCACCTATTCATAAAAAGCATATTACACTTGATATAACTTCTTTTAAAAATAACACAAATTTGACTTTTTATATATAAATATACATTTACTAGAGGCCTAGCCTCAATTTATAGAAGATTAAGGCAGTTTAAGAAAATAACAAAAACATAAGTGAAAAAATAGAAATAAGACTTAGGGCCAGGCACGATGGCCACATCTGTAATTACAGCACTTTGCAAGGCTGAGGTGGGTGGATTGCATGAGTCCAGGAATTCAAGACCAGCCTGGGCAACATGGCAAAATCCCATCTCTACAAAAAATTTTCAAAAATTAGCCGAGTATGCTGGTGTGTGACTGTGGTCCCAGCTACTTGGGAGGCTAAGGTGGGAGCATCACCTCAGCCTGGGAGGTGGAGGCTGTAGTGAGCCGAAATCGTGCCACTGCACTCCAGCCTAAGGGACAGAGTGAGACCCTGTCTCAAACAACAACAACAACAACAGTTAGGAACAGAGGGAATAAAGACAAATACAGACACTTAAGAAAATGGTTGGGAGGGCCCATATAGTTATTTGAGTGAAGCTTCACATTTGGCCCAAGGGACAAGTGTGACTTCATCATTTACATACTAGCTTTTCCTAGCATTGAGTTCTAAAAGAAATATTTCAGATGTGGATTGTTATGGACTGAATGTTTGTGTCTCAAATCCAAATTCACATGTTGAAATCCTAACCCCCAATATGATGGTAATACAAAGTGGGACCTTCGGGAGGTAATCAGGACAAAAAGGTAGAGTTCTCATGAATGGGATTAGTGCCATAAGAAGAGATAACAGAGATTACTGTTATGATCTCTCTGACCATACAAGGATACTATGAAAATTAGCAACCTATAACCCAGAAGAGGGCCCTCGCTAGAACTCAACCATGCTGGCACCCTGTTCTTGAACTTCCAGACTCCAGACCTGTGAGAAACAAATTTCTGTTGTTTATAAGGCACCCAGTCTATAGTACTTTGTTATAACATGCTGAACTAAGACATGGCTGCTCTATTTGCTTGCTATAACTTACTGGGTCACAGAAGAAAAAAACAAACAAACAAACAAACAAAAAACCCAACAGAACTCCAGAGCATTTCAAAAGCATAATTCTGTTAGCTTCTAATTTGAATATTACCAAAAGGACGACTACCTGATGGAGAGCCACGTCTGTGACCCAATAATTCCCATCTTTATCTATACTCAAGCCATGTGGCAAGTAAAACCTGCAAAATAAAAATATTTGTGTTAATTACATATTTACTCTCAAAGCATATGTGACAGAAATTTTTCTAATTACTCTGTAAAGATAATACAAAGTTATAAATTGATAAATGTGCACTTGCATTATTATAGAAAAGACCAAAATGAATTGTTAAAAAAACTGTTATAAGATTTCCTTGTGACAAACCTTAAGTAGTATTTAATAGTATTAAAATTTATAAATTAAGCCTACATATAAATTACAAATGTTTATGAAAAAGCATGGTATATTAGAGAAAAGAGTATCAGTTTAAAAACAGGTTCTAAGGTCATAAATATTAACATCTTACAAATATGTATAAAACTGTCTTAAGAAACATAAATGGATTGATATAGTTTGAGGTTAAAAGATGTTGCAAGGAAATGTAATGTGTTAATATAAACTATTAGATAATATAACTCAAAGGCTTTAAAGAGTGCCTATTAAAGACAGTGAAACCCACAGCACAGAACTTTCAGCCAACACGGGCTGTGAATATCTAAACAAAGTGAAATAGTGAGCCAGATAAACATTAGAGAAGGTTAATCTGGCAAATCAATCTTAATGATCTGGGTAAGGAACTTGGACTGAGCTAACAGACACACGGACAATACATTGAGGTGATTTGGTCCAATGATATCTGACAATCCACTAGCTCTGTTAGCTTCTAATCTTAGTGTAGTGTTGATTTTTTTTTTTCATGAGCCATAACTGTAACACTCTGATTTTGACTAATTAGCTGAACTAGATCCCTGTTTTGACAACTGAATGTGAGGATTATGATTTGCTTTCAAACAGATACTCCACCGATGGCTAAGTTGATTTAGCAGTAGTTGTTCTACCTTCCCTTTAATTCCTTTCTGGAATGAGGGTGCTTCTGGTTAATGAATAGAGCACCAATGAAACAGGTTCAAACATTTCACCCCTGACACACCATCTTGAGAATGCTATTAAAAAATTCTAAGCAGCACTGTTATTTCCACAAGCAGCTGCACTCAAAACGGTGGCTACCCACCTTGAGAAGAAGCTGGCTTTCCCTGTGCTTAGGCAGATGGAGAAGGGTATAGTTACTGAAGCTGTCAGGTTACAATAGTTCAGGAGATCTATAAGCAAGTGCCTCCCTCACTTCTTTCAATAACCATAAATATCAGCCAACCTGGTTTTTTTTTTTTTTTTTTGGCTGCTAAGTGCCTCGAAATAAGACTAAATAATGAGCTGTTTTCAAATCCAAATTACATATGCATGATAAGGAATGCTAAAAATGACATTTGTTTAGTATTCACTTTGAGATGGAAAAAGAGAAGCTCTTTTTCTTAATGATGATTACTTGATGAGTTTGGTTGTCCTGAAGAATTTTTCTGCTGAAGAATTTTTTTGCATCATTAGATATTGCTGAGCAGCAACACACTTAATCAACTATGCAAGATATATATTACATATGTAATATGTAACAAGTTTGACTACATATTAAAATCACCTGGGAACTTAAGATTATTAGCCCCACTCTATACAAAATCTAAATCTAATTTTTTAAATGAAAAATTGACAAATTTTCAAATTTTCATTGTATACATTTATGGGGTACAATGTGATGTTATGACATACGTATACAATGTGCAGTGATTAACTCAAGCTAATGAACATATCCATCACCTCAAATACTTAACATTTTTTGATGTGAGAACATTCCAAATATACTCATTTAGCAATTATGAAATAGGCAAGGACCTGAATAGACGGTTCTCAGAAGAAAACATACAAATGGCAAACAGGCAAGTGAATCTAAATTTTTTGGAGCTTCCCAGATTATTCTAATATTCAGTCAAGATTTAGAAACATCTATTTAGAAAATGAAAGACGGGATGGCCCAGTTAGTTTTCTGCTTTCTTAAGTGCAACTATACAACACACTCAAATTTCAAGACTCTATGATACATGTTATACTCAATATATGTAGTACAAGTCTTAACAACATAAATCATTTAACTCACAGATTTTTTCCACTGGACTGGAGTACCGCAGCATTATTTGGATCTATGACAAAAATAGTGTCTTCTTCAATTGGTCCTAGTCCAATTTGCTGGTAAACAAACTTGCTGTCAAACGAGCTAAACAAAATGCAGCAAATAGGAAATGAAACAATCATAAACTCCTATGAAATTGAGAAATGCAGACCATTCACTTGAGATTCTAAATACAAAATCAAAAGAGGTCAAATGTATTTGATTTCACTCTTTGTCCACCACATTTCAGTCATTTGGATTATAATATACACCATTAACCTGTAGAACCATGCTACTCAGGGTGGTCAGTGGAACTGAAGCATTGGCACTGCTGGGAAACGCAGTTTCAGAACTACTGGACCTGAATCTGCATTTTCACAAGACCCCTGGGTGGTTCCTATGCTCACTGGGGTTTGAGAAACATTGATCAAGAACTCTTAATGTACCTGAAAAATTTCAAAAGCTCTTCAGAAGAGTATGCAGTCATTCAATAGACATTTTCTTTCAAATTGAAAAAGAAAATATGACTTATTTTAACTTTGTCATTAATGATAATAGCTGGAATAGCAGTGATCAAAATGTTTTGTTATACTTTAGGTGCAACATGTGAATATATATTATAGAGATATAAAAGAGAATGTTCAAAGTACTTAAAAGTTATAAAACCAAATCTATCCTTGAGACAAAAATATGCTTAAAGGCATAAAACTTACCAAATAACAGCTATTCTACATCTATAAAAGGAACAACTATGTAATAATTAATTTAAAAACTTAAATATGACAATTTCTGCTTTTAATCTCAGTACCTTTTAGGTTATTATAAAACATTATGGACATATATTCATATATATACTTTCAAAATTATATTTCTATTTAAATTGTTAGTAATATAATTCCTTAAATTCACAATTATCACAGACACGGTACTTATTTCGTTTTCTGTTTGGGAAATTATATGTCAACAGGGATGAATGACAAAGATAAGCTCTTCTAATCTAAGCTACTGTAATAGAGAAGTAAATGTATGACACACCAAAAAAACCAAGTTATCTTCTCAAAAAAGGATTGGATCAGTACATAGTTGAGGGATGTGTCTGTGTGTGTGTGTGTGTTTATAAATACACATATCAAGTCAATAAATGACTTATGAATATTATTGTAAAACAGAATTTCCTTTTAGCATCAGGCAAGGTTGTGAAAAAAGTATTAATATTTTGTAGTTCAACTGTTTAAGCAAAAGAATCTGAATAACATTAAATATATTTGCTATTATATATTTGCAATTTGGGAAGGTAACAGACCACTTGGATCTGTCATGAATCCATTGATCAGTTGGCTGCCATTTTTATGGAACTTATGTAGAGTCCCAGTACTCTACATAAATAGGAGAATGAAAAAATTCTTAAATTATATTCTTTGGCCATTAAAAAAATACATCACACAATTATCTGAGCTACTTGACTGTTACAGTCTTTTGGGTATAGTTTTCCTGTAAGATAACAATAAGTCCCTGAAGTAGTTCTTATTAATGATGCATTCAATTGAACACAAAATATTGATTCAGCTTTGTCAATCTAAAACTTAAGTAATATTCTTTATATATGGTATTATATGCAGTAAAGAACCACACAGTGGTATCTAGAAAAAAAAAACCAAATAAATTTATGAAATGGAAGTAGCATCATTAACAAAAAAGATTTCATAAGATATTTATGGGGTCATTATCAAACTGAAATGTGAAATTTTATTAGATAGGAACCAATGTAAGAATATTCATAGTATTATTAAATCATGGGAAAATGGTAAAGGGCAAATATGAAGTCACTCTTGCTAGTATGAAACACCAAATAATTTATCCTATATCTGAAACTCTATTTTCAATATGAATTTATTTACTAAAAACATCATAACTATTCCTCTGAAAAACATAGGTACTGGATTCAACCATTAATAATCTTTTATTTTTCCAACTTGACTATAATAATGGCTAACAAGTTCAGCACATCTGAGACTTAGTATATTGTAACCTTCACATTCATATGTAATAGGTTAAAGTTTCTTCATTCATTATCTCTTCCTAAGGTTTGATACGGTTTGGCTGTGTCCCCACCCAAGTCTTATCTTGAATTGTAGTTTCCATAATCCTCACCTGTCGTGGAAGGGACTTGGTGGAAAGTAATTGAATCATGGGGCGGTTACCCGCTTTCTGCTGTTCTGGTGATAGTCAGTGAGTTCTCATGAGATCTGATAGTTTTTTAAGGAGCTTTTCCCCCTTTTGCTTGGGACTTCTCTTTCTTGCCATCATGTGAAGGACATGTTTGCTTCCCCTTCTGAAGCAATCTGCCTGGTTTTAAGTTTTCTGAGGTTTCTCCAGCCATGCTTAACTAAGTCAATTAAACTTCTCTTCTTTATAAATTACCCAATCTTGGGTATGTCTTTATTAGCAGTGTGAGAAGGAATTAATACAGGAAATTGGTACCAGAAATGGGGTGCTGCCATAAAGATACACAAAAATGTGGAAGCAACTTTGGAACTGGGTAATAAACAGAAGTTAGAACAGTTTGGAGGGCTCAGAAGAGGACAGGAAGATGTTGGAAAGTTTGTAACTTTCTAGAGTCTTGTTGAATGGCTTTGACGAAAATGCTGATAGTGATATGAACAATGAAGTCCAGGCTGGGATGGTCTCAGATGGAGATGATAAGCTTGCTGGGAACTAGAATAAATGTCACTCTTGCTATGTTTTAGCAAAGAGACAGTTGGCATTTTGCCTCTGCCCTAGAGATCTGTGGAAATTTGAACTTAAGAGAGATGATTTAGGGTATCTGGTGGAAGAAATGTCTAAGCAGCAAAGCATTCAATGGGTGACTCGAGTGCTTGTAAGAGCATTCAGTTTTATTAATTCACAAAGATATGGTTTGAATTGGAATGTATGTTTAAAAGGGAAGCAGAGCATAAAGGTTTGGAAAATTTGCAGCCTGATGATGTGCTAGAAAAGAAAAACCCATTTTCTGAGGAGAAATTCAAGCCAGCTACAGAAATTTGCAAAAGTAATGAGGAGCCAAAAGTTACTCATCAAAACAATAGGGAAAATGTCTCCAGGGTATGTGAGAGGTCTTCACCGCAGCCCCTTCCATCACAGACCCAGTGGTCCAGAAGGAAAAAATGGTTTGGCTAGGCCTAGGGCCTTGCTGCGCTGTGCAGCCTAAGGACTTGGTGCCTTGTGTCCTAGCTGTGGCTAAAATAGGCCAAGGTATTGCTTGGGCCTTGGCTTCAGAGGGTGCAAGCCCCAAGCCTTGGCAGTTTCCCTTTGGTGTTGAGCCTGTGGGTGCACAGAAGTCAAGAATTGAGGTTTGGGAACCTCTGCCTAGATTTCACAAGATGTATGGAAATGCCTGGAGGTCCAGGAAGAAGTTTTCTGCAGGGGAGGAATCCTCATTGAGAACCTCTGCTAGGGCAGTGTGAAAGTGAAATGTGGGGTCAGAGCCCCCACACAGAGTCTCCACTGGTGCACTGCCTAGTGGAGCTGTGAGAAGAGGGCCACCACTCTCCAGACCTTGGAATGTTAGATCCATCCACAGCTTGCACCATGTGCCTGGAAAGGCAACAGACACTCAATGCCAACTGTGAAAGCAGCTGAGAGGGGGGATGTACACCTCTCAGCCACAGGGACGGAGCTGCCCAAGGCTGTGGGAGCCAACCTCTTGCATCAGTGTGACCTGGATGTGAGACATGGAGTCAAAGGGTATCATTTTGGAGCTCTAAGATTTGACTGCCCTTCTGGATTCTGGACTTGGATGGGGCCTGCAGCCTCTTCATTTTGACTGAATTTTCCCATTTGGGAGGGACCTGCTGGAAAGTAATTGAATCATGGGGGTGGTTACCCCATGCTGCTGTTTTCTGGTAGTCAGTGGGTTCTCACGAGATTTGGTGGTTTTATAACGGCCTTTTCCCACTTCTGCTCAGCACTTCTTCTTGCCGTCATGTGAAGGACGTGTTTGCTTCCCCTTCTGCCTGATTGTAAGTTTCCTGAAGCTTCACCAGCCATGCTGAACTGTGAGTCAATTAAACCTCTTTCCTTTCTAAATTACCCAGTCTCAAGTATGTCTTTATTAGCAGCATGAGAAGGAACTACTGAAAGGTTTAAGTCTCACATTCTTCATTATTCAGAAATATTTCAGTGCTTTGTAAAGGCACAATGGCAATCTAAATAATGTGAAAATTAGGTGTCTGCTATTAGGAGTTAAAACCTTTCCCCCTCTTTTTTTTAAATGGAAATTTTGATTAATTGTAAATGCATATTCAGTTGTAAGAAATAAAAAAGTTCTGTGTGCACTTTACCCAGTTTCTCCATTTTGCAAAACTATATATAACATCACTACATATAATAAAACTATATATAATATTTTCATTTACTCTTAGTTTATTTCCTTGGAATATACTAGTACATTACCTTTCTATGCTACCCCAATCTATGGAATATGGAAAGTTACCGATTCATAATTCCAATTCATAATTCTTGCCAAGTGCTATCTACTTTGTATGTAGATTGTGAGTTCTGACTCACCATCGACAGCTAATAACAGTGGCAGTCTAAGTGCCTATTATATATCGTTGTATTAGACCTCAGCACACATACTTCCACATCTTCCCCTCTCTGCAGAATGACAAACCATTAGGGAAACCTGATATATTTACTTGCCCCCATGGTTTCTCCAAGAATGGGATGCAGTATTTCTGTAAGATAACTGCCCCTTTGATCTGTCTTCTCATTCATTTAAATATTCATCATCATTCCTAAATCTCTGGTCATATTATTTTAGGAAATAGCACTCCTACAATTTATTGATGAGGAGAAAGTAAAAAGGTTTCCCTCCTTCTCCAGGAGCATACACTGAACTTCTGCAACTTAAAGCATTTCTTATAGCTTCAGATTATTTCTCTAGACCACTCAAATACTTCAAAGTGTAAACTATAGGCTAAATTACTCACTGACAGCCATGTAAGATCAGAGTCACAGACCTGAAATGCTGGGCTTGGCTTCCAAGAAAACAAGCTGCGTTAAGGAAGAAATATAAATAACAGACCCACAGTCCTTGTGCCAGT